CCAGTTACCTCGTCACTTCTTTATGTATGCTCCATACCTCGCCTTCTTTGCATATGAGACCCCGCAACAGGGCTTTTCAATTTTCGCCATATACTGTAAACCACCAACTTTATGCTAGAATATATGATAGTTTATGAAAATCTACGTATAAGTAAATGCATTAAAGTTTTCGTGGGAGGTATGGAAGTTTCCTACTTTGGAGAAGCTTTGCGCTGAAAATTTGCAGTTTTAAAACCGCCGAGAAGCTGTATAATCCCGTAATCCCGTCGAAATTAGGAGACGAGGCTGAGTAACCCGACAAATTTTAAGGTGCCATTAAAAGGCAAGTCAGTAAAGCCCGTTAAATGAAAAAGAGCGCGACTTTTAGCTCCACTAGGTAAAGTAACAGTAGGTAAGATTATGTTATGGGCCATTAACGCGTGATTTTTAACTGCTTCACCCGCGTGAGAATAAAATCAAAACACCCGTCGGTGCCATGGGGCTATAGAGGGCTACAGGTGAAAGGGGGACGTTACATGGACTCTAGCGAGGGCGCATGTGATCTGCACGCATTCTGGCTATGCCTCGGAGATCCGTCAGGTGGTACCTCCACTTTGGACAGTCACAAACCTTTTACCACAATCACAACGTCCATAGACAAGATAAATATCTTAATAGTACCGAAATGTTAATGTTACACGGTTATACAGTCTCTTAATGCTCTCCACTACCTCCTTTATTTCTATGGAAAACATGCATCCGTATGCATAACTTCACGGATGTGTTTGTCAGCCGACTGTATCTCGTTTCCCGTGCTTCATGAAGATGTTAAATACCATCTACATTGCTAAAAACCATGTCACTCATTTTTGTCAGTCTTTTTATCTGTATGTCCTCCAATAGGAAGGTTCGCAATTTTTTTGTTTTTATTCAAATCGAGAGATTTTGTTATTAGAAAACAATAAAAATTTGAGCAAAAAGTATTGATATTTACGTCGACTAAAAGCATTTCATAATCAAGGATGGACGCGAGGCTGGAAAATGTACCTGTGCACGAGACTAGACCGCGTGACGTCAGTAGCACCTCGCTAGCTGGCCCGCTTCATTTACCATTCTCACAACAACGCCCCAGTAATCGGTTTGGAGTAGTTAGAGCTGGTACGATAGATTATTGTTAAATCCTGTGAGCTTTGACAGTGTTAAATGTCGAACAGAAAGTAGTGTTTTGTGCCAAAATGTACAAGTACGTCAAATGCAAGACCACAAACAAATTTGTGAGTGTTCCAAAAGCTGACGCACAAAGTAAAAAGTGGTTTGACGCAGCTCGACGGGATGTAAAATCAGTTTCTTCCACGTCGACCATGTACTGCTGCGAAGATCATTTTGACCTGGAAAAAGATATGCAAAACTATCTACAATACAAGATGAGTACCGTTCGAGCCCGAATGAATCCTAATATTGCACCTCACAAATTTGCATGTCAACTGGGTAGACAATTAAGCTCTACGAAACGAGTGTTCAGTGAAGACATTGCCAAATATTTGCAGCTAGCGGCGACACGCCGGACGGGACCCTCAACCGAAAAGTCCGACCCTGAAGGCGTGGAAGTTATTGAGGAGAAGCATGATGAACTGCTTCATTCTTTAACAGTAGAAGTTCAGTCACAGGTATGTGACAAGGCATGCCAAACCAAACAGGTACATTTTAGAAGCAAGTCAGTTCAAATCTCGCAAAAACGGTCAGTAATGGATGTTGCTGTATCACCAATATGAATTCCTGCGCTTGCTAAACAGATTTCAGAGTGGCCAAAAAAACGTTTGCAAGTGGAAAGTGAACGGGCAAATCTTGAATGTCCCGCAATAACAGAAACATCCGAATCTGATTCGTATGAAGCCAGTAGAAGCAGTACTGAAACTAGTGACAGCGAAGCTGACCTGCTTAGTGCCGAGATCTAAGTCATTCTAAGCGCAATATTGGTCAATGTCTAGAATCTGGCTTCATTGCCCATCCCCCGATGCAGCCATTAACTTTGTTATTTTAGTAGCTATAAAATTGTATAATGTGACTGTCCCCCCCTCTAATTTAAGTATTCCACAATAGACCTTAGAAAAAATAAGATTCTCTCTCCCTGGAATTTCTCTCATTGAAAACATATTAGGTACGATACTTTACTTCAGAATAGTGTAATGAAGCCTCATTATGCATGCAAAAATAACCAGTTTCGGGCTCTTAAGGGGCGTAGCAAGGTAAAAAGGTATGTATGATAATTTAAATTCCATAATATTTTACCTAGGAAGAAAAAAGCAAAGATAAATAGCCTTCAGAATTGTTGTCACGAGCAGGCATTATTATGTCTTAATATTACTAGCTTTCAATAGACTAAAGCAAAGCAGGATCAATTTTTAGTTTTCGACGTTAAGTCTACTCTTGTAAAGTTGTGAATAGTAGAGATAAAGTTATGCTCGGATAAAAGATTTAAATATTTCTTAGATATTTCAAAGTGTTCCAGAATGTTGATATTTAGATCACCCGTCAAAAAATGCATATCCACATGTTTGCTACTTTGTTTTAGGTACACTTCTAAATCTGCCACAAAAGTGTTAGCATTAGTTGATGGTGGCCCGTATAGTGCCTTAACTGCAACTTTCTTACTGTTTTTGTGTGTAATCAAGTGTAATAATTTTATCTTAGTATTCTGTAAAGAAGTAATTTTATCTTCTACAACTTTTATGTTCCTGTTTACGTAAACAACGACCTCATCATTTTTGTTGAAGCTACCCCCATTATAAAACATTGCATAATTGTTTAGTTGAAACATAGATACGTCTTCAATTTTCCAGGTTTCTGACAACACAATAATGTCGCAGGTCTCAAATTGTGTAACATAAGTTTGAGCTCATCAAAATTTTTATTTAAACTACGGATATTGAGTTGTGGTACTTTTAAGTCTTGTTTATTCCGGTATGATGATAAAAGTACATTACATTCATCAATGTGGCTCAATGTTTTTGTTTGTATTGTTTTGGATGTGAACTCCTTAATATACGCGTCCATTGCTAATTTTTGAAGTTTTGCATATATTGCCATATAACCAATAGTACCGTAAAAACTTTTTAACCGTCACACACTGGTAATAAGGATAAAATTAAGACCAACGGTTAATGGTTACATTCGCCGCTAAAACATCGGGAGTCCCCTGTGATAAATCGTCAGCAGTAAAAATGTCCTCTTTTATGTTAAGTGTATGTTTGTGTATTCTCGCCTCCAGTCCAGCACTTTTAGCCACCTTCAAGTTTGTATACAATATTTTTCATTGTTGATAATCGTGTTTTGTGTAATCCAAACTTAAATATATTCCAGTATCTTTCAGCTTCTTCTTCTAAAATATTAAATTATACTTTTTCACTTGGTGTTCTGTACTATTCAGTTCTTCTTCTAACTTGTCGATTTTTTCTTTTAACTTTTTGTTTTCTCTTTCTAGGTTATATAGCTCTGTGGTGATGTCTTGTCTTAAAATTTGTATTTCCTTCTTGATCTCTTCTTTATTGTTCTGGATATCTTGCTCTATTTGAGTATTTTTTGCTAATATGCTATGCAGTTGGTCGTAGATTTGTTTATTTGAGATATCATTAACTTCTTCAATCATAATGCTCCTCGAAATTGTGCGTCTACTGGACTATTACAGTTTCTTTTTGCGATATTGATGTGCACGTGCGTTTGTATCTACTATTTTGTTCACAAACGTCGGTCCCAGTTTATATAAATTCGTATTCGTATCCTCTCCACTTTGTATACAAGATACAAGATACAAGTACTGTGTGAGGGCGAAAGCACGTGTCTGGCTACTGACGTCATGCGGTCTAGTCTCGCGTACAGGTACGTTTTCTAGCCTCGCGTCGATCCTTGATTTTAAAATTGTTTCCGTCGACGTAAATATTATTATTTTGCACTCAAATTTCTTTGACCTTTTTTTAATAACAAAGTCCCCGGATTTCAATCAAAATAAGAGCAATACGAAAAATGTCGAACCTTCCTATTCTCGTCTTCTCTATAAAAGCCTCTCCACAGTCATGCGAGAATCTCGCGAGAAAGCAAGAAACACATGAGAAATGTGTACGTGGAACCGATTTTCATAATGTTCGCAGGTTCTCGGCTTGTTCTCCGATTTTCATCGATTTTTGGTGCGAGACAGAAGAGCTGAGAATGCGAGAACAGGCGACAACTTGTATTGACTGCACAGTCGCATGTTTCTCAGTGGCGAATGACTCGCCGATTAGAACAGTTGTGCATGGTATTTACTACTGAGCATCAATATGAGCCATATTTGGACGAGCGAACTAGAATAGTTTCAAGCAGAACCGATTTTGTGGAATACAAATATGAAAGAATATAAAAATGAACTAAAAGCCCGCGATGCGTGGAAATATATTAGTACCTTGATAGACTTACACATTGAAGAATTGAAAAGCAACAAAGATCGTTATTAGCCAACTACAGAGTGTATAAAGATCAAGTCAAAAAATCGGAAAAATCTGGTGCTGGTGTCGACGACATTTAATTCTGCGTCCATCGTCATCGAGCACGAGAACTGTATGAGTGTGGACCCAAAGAAGTTCTCGCCGAGAGTTTCGCTGAGATTTTTGCCGAGATTATCGGCGAGATTTTGCTGGAGCGGCTTTGACACCTGTGCGCGCGTATTTAAATTTACATAGAGTATAAGTGCAACCTTGAAAGTACCGTACGGATTTTCATGAAATTTTCACACATGATGGGTACTACTCTAAGGACTAAAAGCCTTGCAGCGTGATTGCAGCAGAGGTAGGGAAAAAATCGAACAAACTCCTAATCCTAGCACCAACGCACTTATTTTCCATAGCTTAAGAAGTTTAATTCCTTATATAGGATAGACATGAACTTAAGAGTACGTCCTTCACTTATAGAAGAAGACTCTGGGGGAAAATCTACGCTCTGACTGAAGGATTACTGTGACGTAAGTAAAATACTGGATCAGCAAAAACGTAACTTTATTCTGCTCAGTACAACACTTGTGTGTCTGCAGACTCTAGCGGTTCAACCAAGAGTGGCCACAAATCCCCTATATTTATTTTTTTACTGTGGTTATTTCATCAATGAGATTCAGCGTCCTCCTCTTAAACAATTTCCACTGTTCATCTGTCATACTCGTCACTTCATCCATTAGACTCAGCAAGAACATCTTGCGTGTATTTTCCGTGCTTTGATTATGCCTTTCAAGGTACTTTACAATTGCTGAATCCACTTCATCTGAGGTTTTCTTACGCTTTAGTTTTCTAGTATTGGTCGTCGTGTTGTTGGCTGTAGTGGGATGATGCTGAGTTCCAGTTGGACGGTATATATTTGACTCTTCATTGTCCTCCTCTACAGCTATATCGGTCGTATCTTGTGACTCTGTCATATCAACTTCTGGCGGTTCTGGTATACTACTGCTATATGATTTCACATACGGTGCTACGAATTGCATAAAATCTGTCAAATAATATTTTCGTTTCTTTACACCAGGATCATTTGCCGACGGTTTCATGTGCCTCACAAAAACTGCTCTTAGATTCTTCCATTTCTCTTTACAGGCAGCAGCTGAAACAAATGAAACGTAAATCAACTTTACATGCATTTCGAAATTTGTAGCAGCCTTTTTTAATATATATGTATATATATATATATATATATATATAAATGTATAAAAATAGATTTTAATATGCCATATTACCCTGATACAGGGTGTGGTGAATTTCTACGTCACTGATGAGACTGAATAAGCACAAATCATGAGTATTGTTCAAATAATAATAGTAGTATGGAAAAAAATTCTCAAGACAGGCGATTCATATAAGATTGAAACTATATCGAAAGTCAAAGAGATGTTCCAAAATGATCAGTGGAGTGAAAATAATGCAATTTATATTTCCCAATTTCTACACCACGGGTGTAGTCCTAGGTAGAACATTTCTGTATGTATTGTTTATGCTGTATCTCAATACCTTAAGACACTTCGAAGATACATGCAGGGTGTATAGTTAGTAGTGGATCAATGGAAGTCAGGTGATAGAGGGCTTCAAAACCTATCGAATAAATCCCTATATGTGTGGTCCGAAATTTTATAGTTCAGGAGATATTTGCAATTTTAAGAAGTTTCAAAAAAAAAAACAGGATAATGAACTCTCAATCGCGATTACAACTAAACCATTAGGTTTAGGGCTGTGATTTTATTTTGAGATGAGCTGAATCATTAGTTTCAGCAATGGTTATGTCACTTTTTAACAGAGCTTATTAGGAATCAACGTAAAAAAATCTTAAATTAATTTTTTTGTGAAAAATCTCTTCATCCCTCAACTTTAGAATGCGGTAAAGAAAATTGAGGTTATATTTTATTATTCATTTTATTGTAAAAATATTTCAATCCATTTAGAATAAACCCTAGAAATTACAGCTTGCTACGATAAGTGTGTCTATAAGCACCAGAGCCATTTCCCGAAGCAGAAATATATCCCATAGTTCAGTGCACACAATAGTACGATCGGAAAACATCCTTATCATGTACAAAAACTACAAGAATTGCTTCCAAGCGACTATATACAACGGGTTCAATTTTGTGAGAATACCATATCTCGAGAAGGTGCGAAGAGGATGAATCTTTTTTCGACAGCATCTTATGGACAGACGAATCCAACTTTAAACGAAATGGAACATTCAACATGCACAATTTCCATTCTTGGAGCGTACAAACCAATTTTCCAGGTTCGTCCACCAAAATGGGATGCAATTCCGCCTTGGATATTGGCGAAGGTTTGGCCTTCTGGCACAAGTCGCATGACGCGACCACCTGCCTAACGTGCCGTTGCATGCGAGGCCAATAAAAACTATGTCTCATATAAGCATATGTTTTTGCCTTACCAAAATGCCCCATAGACTGGTGATGCGCTAAAATAAGCTCCTTGACCTGAGCCTTAGGTACGCAGAGCTTATAGCCCTTATTGCGGCTATCGCCCCTCTTAAATAAAAGTACTTCGTGCAGCACGTACCAATCGTAAATTTTAAATTCGCGTCCTGAGAATACCCTAACATAGCGAGTGATAAGTTCTAAGAACTTGATCTTTTCCCTAATCCATTCATCATCCAACTGATCGCGCCTCAAAGTTTTAAAATGTTTCTTAAGCTCCGCAAAATCCCCACTCAGCCTCATTAACGAAATTTGCGCATTTCCGTTAGAACCTGGAACACTGCACGTCTTATTCTTTAAAGGATGCCGCGACAAAGCATCCGCCACTACGTTGTCAGGTCCGTTGCAATATCGTATCTCGAAATCAAATTCTTGGATAAATATTATCCAGCGCGACAACCTTGCCGAACGTAATTTACATGATATCAAAAAGCTAAGTGCTTTATGATCTGTAACAACCACCAAATCTTGTCCTAGAACCATCGTACGCCACAAACGTAAACAAGAGACAACCCCCCATGCTTCCTTTTCCGTTACGGTGTAGTATAATTGACTTCCTTTCAAAACGGAACTCATGAAACAAACATATTGTTTCTCCCCCGTATCGCTAATCTGGTAAAGACTGCCCCCCACGGCATATGCGGAAGCATCGCATTGAATATAAAAAGTGCGCTTAAAATCAGGATGAACAAGCATCATGGACTTTAGGAAGGCCGACTTAATAGCCCTAAAACTCTCCATTTCATCGGTCCCCCAGCGCCATTTTTCTCCTTTCTTCAGCAACTTCAACAATGGCACGGTCAATTCGGCATACCCGGCGCAGAATCGATGTTCATAATTGACCAGACCCAAGAACCCTCGCAGCTCTCTTATATTTCGTGGAACAGGAAAATCAGAAATATTTTTGACACGCCCCTCGTCTATTTCGATTCCCCTTGAGGTGATCACACGACCTAGAAAATGTACCTTTTCCCTAATAAACTGACATTTTCTTAGTTTAATTGTAATTCCGGCATCACTAAATCTCTGAAAAATCATTTTCAAATGCCTTAAATGATCCGTTATGTTCCCCGAGTAAATTAATAAATCATCAACATATAACTGCGCGAAATCCTTACAGCCCTCCAGTATCTTATTTAAGCATTGAATAAGACTTGCCATGGAAGTAGATAACCCAAATGGTAATCGACAAAACTATATGTTTCACCCTCGAACACAAACCCAAGATATTTGGTATGATCCGGCAACACTGGAATTTGCCAATATGCTTGCGTCAAGTCTATTGTGCTCATAATTTGGCCCTGTTTAAAATTGGCAATTAATTCAGAGGGATTGGGAGGATTCACGAAATCCTTCTTCATCTTTGAGTTCAGCCCCCGAGCGTCCAAACACACGCGAATATTCCCATCCCTTTTCTTCACGCAAACTAACGGCGAAATGTAGGAAGTTCTTTCCTTTTGAATAACACCGGCCGCTAACATTTCACCGATCTGCCTTCAAACTTCATCCCGATAAACCATAGGAACAGGATAAGCCACAAAATTAAATTCATTTTCATCCACTAGCTCAATTTGATGAAAATAGTTGACGACGCGTCCCGGTGTATCAGAGAATGTAATCCTATATTTTTCCAAAATACTTAAAAGTGAAGCCTTAGCACTCCCACTCAAAGTAGTTTTCGCTGCTGCTGCCTGAATATCCTCCGTGCTGTAGCCTTTGCTGCGGGAATCACCGTCATCAACGCTGTACTCTACCAGTGGTGTAACCCTGCTAGCTTTATTTTCGACTACATCAAACACATAATCATTTTTCTCGCAGAGGTTTATAGATATTTTCTGCGGATCAATCCGGAATGACAGCTCCGTATTTACGGAAACCCCTTCTATCATCAGCTTCAGCTGTGAGTATTGATAATCCAAACGTGCTTGATGCTTGGATAACCAATTTGATCCAAATATCAAATTGCAATTGAGTTGTGGAATAACCAAACAGTTCACATCCATATCTATTCCTTCTAATTGAACTGGAATCAAGATTTGCGACTTTATCTTCTGCGTTTTACCGCCTATTGCTACAGAAATCACTCCTCGTATGACCGGTAAAATTGTGAATTTCCCGAGATTGCTTAACTCCGAATAGAATTTCTCCGAGATTGCGCATATATCTGAGCCGCTGTCGATCAATACTTCTACCAACGTACCAAATATATGTATCGATATGGTCGGCGAAACTTTTTCATCATCCTGCACTATATCCTCCGGGTCGCCTAAAAGATCGATGTCTGGATCCCCCATGCAAGCCAGTGAACGCCAGTCCCTCATTATTTCCCCTAGCGGTCGGCCGCGTATCTCTCGATATCTCGGAATTTGTTCGATTATTTTCAGATCGATTACTATAACCCTGCGCATTATTCATGTTCCTATTCGAACCCCCCACAGTAGACAATTCGTCAATACGTCTCAGATATTCCTCTACCGTATCAGGCGACGTAAAATTATTAATAATCATGCCCCGCTGGACTTCCACATCAAAATGTTTTACCAACATTCCAATTACATTTTGCATCGGAATTTTATTATCAAGAAACTTTGCTTGCGCCACCAGATTCAAGAAATAATCTGCTCGACTGCCATACGACTGCGTACCGTAGACCAACGTCATATACCACTCTCGTTGTTTTTCAATGCTCCAGAATCTATTTTTAAACGCTAGACGAAATGAAACATAGTCGGCAAAACAATCCTCCTTAACGCTAGCCCAATCGGCCGCCGAACCTCTTAAGCAACCATCAGCTAAACCCAACTGCGCATGCTCAGGAACACCTGCATCGCTAAATATTTTTTCAATTTTCTTTAAAAATAGCATTGGGTGCATTTGCCCATAGTTTGAAAATGTGACATTACCACCCCCTAACTCTTTCCAGTTTATTATATAGGATCTATCTTTAATTACAGTCGAACAATCATCTGTTCCTTTAGAAGTACAAACAGTCTCCAGCACTGTCTCCATTCCAGACATCAGGCCCTCATATCGTATGTCGGACGTTGCCACCTTCTCAGCTAGTTGCCCTACCGTACTTTTTAACTCTGTCACTGATATTGCCAAATTTCTAACTAAGGACTCAAGGTCCTCCTGCACCTCCTTTGTACTCTCTGCCCTGCCTCTCCGCGACTTTCTGCTAGACATTTCTACAGCTTACCTAAACGACAAATCGTTACAATACTACAGTAAACTGAAACAAGGAAAGTTTTTTTTTTGTTACAATAACTGTTTCAACACAGTAAATAATCGTTCATATCCCCTCTGCTCCACCAGCTATCTCTTAACGCCTCACTGCTTCTCTACCAGCGCCTCGGTGCTCGTACAGAACCCCCCAGCAGCATACAAACCCTCAGTTTTCAAAAAATGAAAATGACTTCTCACCCAGATCTGCTTACTCCTCTTACAACCGACAACACCACCTGGCTCGTGCCGCTTGAACACAGCAACCCCTCAACGCCTGTTTCTACATCACGTCGTGCCGCCAAAATCAACCGTTTTCACCTAGGCGTACCGTTTTCGTCGCGTCTCGTTTCTTCTCCATCTAACACCTTGCAACCGTCTCGCGCTACGCCGTTCTACTGCCACGAGTTGGGCACCAAATGAAGTGGATCAGAGCTTACACAGTATCACTCTGGGTTTTTCGTGGGTTTCAGTAATAACGACGGCGATACGGCTAACAAACTTTAATGGTAGTAAGGCACAAAATAATTCACTAACTTAAAAAACATAGAACCCGGTAATACTTAAATCCGGAAGATGGTCACGTCACCTGTTGCCTCTCTCGTCGGCGAAGGGCAACTGCCCCCTCGCTCAATCTACCACAATTTCGTCCACTGTTGCCGAGTTGCCGCGCACCTCACTGAACCACTACAAGTACTAAACAAAAAATTAATTTGACCACATGAATTGCCCGCCAGGTTGAATGGTCAGTCATATCTTGCGTTTCTACAAAGCAGTTTGCATGAGACGTTCGAAACCGCATGTATATATTTTCAATGCGATGGTGCCCCGTGCCACTTTGCATGGAATGTACGCTAATACCTAGACAGTGCCTTTCCTGGGCGTTGGACAGGTAGAGGTCGACACAAACGATGGCTTCCAAGGTCACCCGATTTAAATCCTCTAGATTCTTTTATATGGAGGTTTTATAAGGGGATAATCTATTCATTTAAATGTACAAATGTCAACCAACCTACTGTGCCAGAAAATTGCTGAACCAAAAATTGAAATTATGGAAAACGCAAATTCATTATAAAGACTACAGTACAATTTTATTAGATATTGTGTATAGAAAATAATGGAACCCATCTTGAAAATGTACTTTAGAAGTTAGTTAAATCACATTATCTTCCACATTTGCCGGTAATTTGCCATAAAGAGCGGCTAATACAATAGGTTCTGTACTTGTAGGTGGTAAGGATTCTGTTGCGTTTCTTACGTTTATCGCATCACAACACTCATCGCAGAAAGCTGAAATTTTCGGGGTTTATTCTACATGGACTGAAATAGTTTTTACAATAAAATGGATAATGAAATACAACCTCAATTTTTTTAACGCCCTCCAAAGTTGAAGGCTGGAATAGATTTTCACACAAAAATGAATCTAAGATCTTTTGCGTTGATTTCTAATAAGCTCTGTTAAAATGTAACATAACAACTGCTAAAACTAACCATTTAGCTCATCTCAGAATAAAATCATAGCCGTAAACCTAATGGTTTAGTTGTAATTGCGATTGCAAGTACATTATTCCGTTTTTTTTTCTCTCGAAATTTCACAAAATTGCAAATATCTCCTGAACTATAAAATTTTGGACTAAAAATATAGGCGTTCATTCCATAGGTCTGGAGGCTCTATCACCTGACTTCCATTGATCCACTTCTAGGTTTACACCCTATATAGTTATGTGTATATTGCTTTTTGATTTCGTAATTAAAACTTCAACACCCTGTCTCTCGGCAGGAGGATTTTTTGACATACCTTCTAGTTCAAAACTGTTACCCTGTATACATATACAAAAATATTTAATTCGTATATTCTTATTGTGCGTCAAAGAGGCTTTCGTGCCAAATGAGTTTCAATTTTTGGTCAAAGGGCAAGTAGAGTAAAAAACACCTATAGTCAACGCCAAACAAAGTGGCGTGCACGTCATCAAGGTGGGTGTGTTGAAAAATTTACATTGTTGCCAAATTTTTTGTAAAATAATAAAATTTATTATTTACATATCTAGGTTTATAAGCAATATTAACCTCAAATGAGAACAAAAATAATAGTATAATAAAATTATAGATCTGTACTTGCTTAATCATTAAGTATGACAATTATTGATCAGATGACACTATGAAACTACCATATTTAATTGATAGCTTAAAGGTACTGAATAAAAATCCAAATGGGGTCCTCCAAATTTTATGCATGGTATTTATTCTACAGAATTCATACGGAAAAATGCATTCTAAAATTAGGTAAGCTACTGGTGTAAGCTTTTTCTGTACAATAAAGTTAGTCGGAGTTTCTTTCTTCAGCGCTGTCTGAATCTGAATCTTCATCACTCTCAAAGTTGATTATTAAAGGTTCGATGTCTGGTCGATCAAAAATTCGTTCTCTTTCATACCATTTAAAAATTTCTTGCTCAGTATGTCGAACACTATTTTTCCACATGTCTGGGGTAACCGTTTGTAGAGCCTCGTTCCACATATCCAAACAGTCTTTTTCACTGTTACCATCTCTACCAATATGTCTGTTATAGTAACCTTTTGCTATGCCCCAAATTAACTCAATAGGGTTAAATATACAATGGTAAGGAGGCAGACGAAGAACTTTGTGGCCATGTTGTTCCGCCAATTCATCAATCACGTATATTTTAGGTGGTTTGTTTCTAAAAAAGCAGTTATTTTAAGAATAGGAATAAACAAAAGAAATATAAACTGTCGACCAAAATATATATAATTAAGAAGCATTATGTACCGAGCAACAATACTCAATAGCTCTGTTTTAAACATTGTGTTTAAAAATGGTATGTTTTGATTTGTCAACCAGTCTTGGATATTTTTTTTGTCCATGCATTGTTGGGCACTTTGTTCAATATCATGCTGTGATAAGGGGCGTTATCCAGTATAATCATAGATGGACTCTCCAATTTTTCTAGTAACTGATGTTGAAACCATTTCAAAAAATTGTCCTGGTTCATCTCTCCATGGTAATCGCTCAATTTTGTTTTCGAAGAAAATATCGCTTCACTACCCTCAATAAACCCATTTTCATTTCCAGCATGTAATATAATGTATCTAAAATATATTAGTTTTAAATTTTATAGTGCAAATTGTGTAAAAGTACATACCTTTTACCATCTGTTTTAATAGCTTTCACGCTTTTTTGGTTTCCATTTTGCCAAGAGCGACCTATGGTCCCATTTTGAAATATCCAAGTTTCATCGAGGAAGACAAACTGGTATAAGGCCTCAACCTTGGCTTGATTGTATTGCCTTAGAAATTCCACCCTTTTCAAAGCTATACTTGGTAGTTCCATGAGCCCTCGTCGCGGATTGTCCTTAAGCCACTTAAATCCAAGATCTCTAAGCAACCGCCTTAAAGACGTGGCACTACCATCAAATAATGCCCTATCTCTTAATCGAGACCATAAAGTTTGTATCGTAACTTGTTCTTCTGAAACCATGTGTAATATGACATTATAATTTAGTTAACAAATTAATGCAAATTTCTGATAAGTTATTATAATAAGATCTTACTTTTGTGATACATATTATAGATCACTTCTCGAATGGCACTTGTATCCAATGCCGCTGTGTTGGTTACACGTTTAATATAACTCCGCTTTTTCTTGGGCGATTCTAAATTTGCATCACTTTTCACACCCTCGGAAATACGACTAACTGTCCTTAAACTAATTTTTAAAGCAGCAGCAACACGCTACAAAAAATGAAATAAAATTTCACTATTATTAATATACATTACATATAATTATTAGTAACCTACCTCTTGAACAGCATTTAAAGGCAACAAAGGCCCGTTGTTGTCCCTTTCTTGCTCAAAGTAGTGCATTAACGAGGCCACGAGTTCCTTACACCGACTATTTAACTGTTTGGGCATCTTTATATACCAAAATTGCCTTTATCTACTCGTAAAATGAATAATTTTGTTTTGAAACAAACAGTTGTTGATTTACAGTATGCGGGGCCAAAGGATTTATAAAGATTTGAAATGCCACAAATTGATTCAGTGTCAAAATTAATACAAATGTCAGTTCCCAGTTTAAATAAGTTTCAAGGTGACAATGTGTCAACGCTGCGAAATCGGTTTAGTGCGTTTACATGTCGATAAGTGATTGGAGCGTTTGCAAAACATTTTATTTCGCATAATGCGTCTAAATTTATTAGAAAGCAACTTATGTGATATTTTAATAACAATGTTTATAGGTGCTGGAGTTTCTTTCACACCGAAGCAGCCGCGCTATCAGAAGCCTAAATGCCAGGGCACCGCGGCTGCTATTAGGGTCCCAAAGAAACTGTGTTAATCCTATTTTTGAGCTACCTATGGTTGTTCCACAATTTCGACACCCAGTTCTGGATGTACGATGTTCGACACTGTTATGATGAGAGATGGAAATCAGGCGGATTTGTCTAAAAGGCACTTCGCGCAAAGGCATCATGGACGAGAGCTCCGAGGGGCAAAGCCCATTGGTGTAGTGGTAAAAGAAAACTAGATCGCCGACGGCTGCCAGTGCGACAGGATCCCGAGACTGTCTGTTAGAGAAGAATTACTTGTCAGTCGGACAGCCGTTCTCTGAACAGCACCGAGCATAGATAACTTAGCCGGAGCGGCAGCACCCCAAACATGTACGCAATACTCCAAGATAGGTCTCATCTGGGCCTTGTATGGAGTGAGGAGGTCATGTGGAGAAAAGTACTTTCTAGCCCTAAACAAATAGCCTAGCCTTTTCCCAGCAGCGTCCGCTGTTGACGAGATGCGTTCGTGCCAGATTAAGTCCTTGCTGATCTGGATGAACGGCTTTCTGGCAGAACTCGGCCATCCATCGAAACCGGATGAGCGCTAGGACGGTTTTAATTCGTCAAGGTACAGTACTGTGTTTTGGAAGCATTACACTGTACAAGATTGTTGCGCCCCAAACAGTGATAACCTCCAGATCTTTCGTCAGAGAGGAAGTCGCAGTAGTATTATTCTTTCCAGCTCACAGGAAGAGATAGCTCTGAATTCCTGCATGTAGAGTGCTGTCATCAGCAATGCTCTAGATTGGATTCATCGTACAGCGGAGGCGATCGTTGATATGTGCTTACACCCTTCAGCTCGGTATAATGTGACATTTCAGAACATATGTCTATGCGAACTTTTGCGTTATTTAAGGACGTACTTTCTGCTCCACAATTCTGGCTATTGCTTTTAGAATCACCCTGTAAAATTGCAAGTCGCTATTGTCAGGTCTTCGCACATAAACAGCCGAGCATTAAGCTCAAAGGTATTTGAAAATGAGGTAACAAAAAATATTGTGTGTAGCTCATGTTACTGTACTTGGAACACATATTTATCCACATACCTGACAGATCGAACTCTCTCCCTATCTCGTACCATGCGCCATCAGTGATATCCCTCCTAGAATATTCTGTCAGGTTGTAATTGTAGAGGCAAGGATATCTTTCTACCTCCTGGACGAACCTTATGTTAAGACTTTGCTCATTCATCTTTCTCACAATGTGCGCAGGAATACGATAATCGCTTGGCGACTAAGCGGAAGTTTTTTATATACGGTAGCGAGGCAACGACGGACGCATCAAGAACGATATCACTAACGTAGCGTACTGGTAGATTATCGCGTCGAAACTGCGCAGCGAGCAGGTTTCGTCGCCGGGCAACCGTTACGTTAAGCTGGCCATACACTCTAAGGTTTCCGCATTACGAAACGGCAGCGTCTAGGTAGACATACACGCTTAGGCCGACTGAAAGTTGACATTTGTAGGAGCGTATACATATGCAAGCCTAATCGTTCCCGGGCCGCTCATGAGCCGCTCAAAAACTCTCCTTTAAAATTATGTTGGCAACGTAAACCACCAGCGGCAGCGTTCTGTGAGTCTTCCAGGAACATGAAAGCTTTGTAAACAAACGGTCAGCTTAGATAAACTTCCTCTCCACCTACAATACTTACAGCGTTAAAATTATTACAAGTAAATCTTCATCCGCATAAATGTATTAATGTATTTCACTTATTTGTAATTGTACATAAATTATGTAGTGTTCATTTGGGTAATAATATCAGTAATTTACGCAGATCAGTTACATCAAAGTAAGTGCAAACTGGTGACATTTATAATACATTAAAATATTAAACAAAAAAAACTAGAACAATATTTAGTCTTTATATCGTTATTTATCTTTAATATTTTTACCTTTCCCTGCACGAATGTCGCCTTGAATTTTTCTAACGTCTGTAAGATGCCAGTGGGCATATTATTTGCTGTTTACTCTGGTCTGCGGGCATATTCATCTTCCATGCGAACACATGGTAAGTAACTTGAAAGGTGACATTGGTGGGTCTTTTTGAGACGATTCCTCATTTGTTTGTCTGGGCGGTTTGTAGGACGTTTGCCCATTACTCACTGTCTAATGTACGTTAGTCGAATCTGTCAGTCCTGGTTGCCCAGAAACCAGACAACGTCAAGGAAAAAAAAGAAAGGCAAAGAGAAAAAACAGAGAAGGTCAAAGGAAAAACAGAAGTGTTTAGTTCAAAAGGAAACACCTAAGCTTTTTGACTTGGCACACGGATTAATTTTGAGGTGAACTGAGCTAACTTTGTTTCGGTTTTGTTAGAGTGTAATTTTGAGTTTACTAAAAGTTCGCGCTAATTTTTTTGTTACAGTGCGATCCGCGGCCTTGAATGTGTACGGACTAGCTCCACTGTCACTGTGTAGTCCACTGAGTCACGCAACAGAGGGTTGCTGTGCGATTCCGTTTGACTATGGGTTTTTTGACATATGTTGGTTTTTTATGACATAATGTGAGTTTTCTTACAAGTCTTCAACTTGGAACCAGCTGTCGTTTACTTAATGATTACTTGTGACAATTCATATATTAACGTTTTTTTTTTTGGCATTATCTAAGTTTTTTGCCTAACAACCCTGCGGTACTGATTTAACCTTCCGGTAGACTTTATATCTTTGAAGATACGATGACGAGATAGAAATCTGATTCAAGGCGAATGGTTGTTTCATGAAGTGTTACAAAAATGCGTTTAGTGGACCTTCATAAATTCGTATAAATAAAATAAGTCTCATTGCATCATTTACTTATGTCCTCCCTTTTTGGTCCTGTATAGCAAAAAAAAGAATAATTTAAAAAAACTAAAAAAACACGATTTTATAGCTAACCGAACTAAAAAGTAGAAAATAATTTTTAATAACAAAGAATTTATGTTACAGTTGTAGATAATCGAACAATCAATCCTAATTAAGGAGCTCAAAATAAAATTATAATAAAACTTAGGTTATTAACAGAATAATTCAATTCAGATTAAAAAGCGTGGAGTGCTTGATATAAATAAATATAAATCTGCACGGCACTGGAAAGTGATCAGTTAGGGAGCGCGTACCGGACCAAGAAGTGTACGCGATCAGCGCGGTTGAAGAGATAGTCGGCCCTGGATAGTTAACGGTAGTAGGTCGCGGGTGCGTTTGCTAACTCATCCGAACCGCATTGTCGGGCCAGTATTTGTAGTCAGCCTGAAAATAAAGTCCTTTAATCGTTTGCCGTCTCATCTGCTATTGAAGAACCCACCCCATGACATTTTGGTATCCAAACCAAGAGCTCACGCTCGGATTTGGGCTCATCATGGGTAGGAACCGTTACACCAGCAAACCTAAAACCTGCAAGAAAACTAGAAGTTTGCAATATTTTTCTTTTTTCACGAGTACACATTCTAGGTTATATATTTAGACATTATTTGAATAACAGCTGATTATTACATTTCAAAAACCCCCAACGAGTGACACATGTGTGGGATCCGTCAACAGTTCCTCCCAGTCACAAAACATATACACTGAAGAAGGTTTAATTCCATGCTACTCAATGACAGTACGGTGACTTGTGTGGTTGTGTGCGGCCATTTTTTGAGGGTGCGACATGGTTGCCAGATTGTGCATTAATATCCCGTTTCACCCCCCTGGTCCCAGTGGAGTACGCTCCGCCAACTGTTGAAATATACTCTACTATGCTTTATACGACTATTCGTGGAAATTTTCCCAAAATCGTTGCACAACACTTGAAAAAATGCAAATAAAAATTTAAAATTACTTCCACGATGCCCCAAAATAGCTGCGTCGGTACCTCGGGTTATACATCTTAACAGTGGGGATGTTCGATAGGATCCTATATTTAGAAGTATCGATACTTTTGCTTCCCATACCCGATATTTTGGATCGATATTTTTATGTACGACACCTGGGTGTATCGATACATTTCACGAGTATCGTTATCTTTCAATCCAAACTGTGTCTGAAAGAGTAACTAACTTCGAATTACTTTTCTTCACAGTTTCCTACCGTTGGATATCGATAATCTTATTCCAATATTTTAGAGTATCGATACTTCCTAAAATGATAAGAATCGATACATAAAGATACTTTTCGTGGATCTAAACTTCCCTTATCTTGACAGCTTGTCGTTCTTGTCAACTGGGCTGCAGGGTGCGGTGTTGCCTTAATATCTTACGTTTTGCTAAAATCTTATGACAAATAAAAGCTTCAAATGAAATATTGACGAATATGAACGGATATGCATAGAATTTACAATATAAATTCATATTGCAAATTTCAGATTGTCAATGCGTGGACTTGAACCGGATTTTGCGGTATTTTTACCAAAAAGAGAATATTTACCGACAACACCATTTCTCCACGATTTTTCAAAATATATAATTTAAGTATTTCTATACTTGCCGAAAAATAGCTGAAACCAAACATAAAGCTAAAAGTTAATTTTATGGAGTATCAATAGTTTTATGCCCCATATCAATCATACATATGTATACACACATAAAGCTAAAAGTTAATTTTATGGAGTATCAATAGTTTTATGCCCCATATCAATCATACATATGTATACACACGTAGGCAGTCGGGCACATGAGAGGCGTATATTTGTGTTGCCTGTGATTACGAACTTACGTCCTCATCTCTTACTCCGCTTGCCCTGAATTGATTTTTGTGCATACAAAAGGTACAGACTGGTAGATTACAGTCATTACCTCATCATCGGACAAGCAATAAAGAAAATGAAACCTGTCTGTTTTCAAAATAAATATTTAATTAAAATGAGAGGTGAGTCTAGGGATAAAACAGAAAAATATTCACAATCCCGTAAGCAATAATCGAAAAAGGAGTTTCCAGAATGGTTTGCAAAGTACTTTGAAAAAGCGACCAGTATGTACGTTGTAGAAGTTGTGTGCACGCCCAATACAATGACAGACGTTTTCCATGACTCAAAGGTCCTTGATCTACCACTGGTCTTGGGACGGCATTTACCTTCTACTGAACTCAACGACACTATTTACCGATTCGTGTTATAATAATAGAAATAATAAGAAAATATAACAATGTTTGGAGTTATATTTTTATAAATAGGTATTTTTGATTCTAACTTATAATATCTAGACGATGAATAATAGGTGGATGGGGATACTTCTATAAATATCTATGTTTTAGGACCCAGAAATGCACAATGTGCTGGTTGTTTACATTTGGTGTGGATTTCTAGATCATAAATTGGCAATAATTGTTTTTGATGTAACAAAAGGTGATGAACCAGTTGAATACGTTTCATATGCTTTTTTTTGCAAAATAACAAAAATCGGTACATTTCTACGAGTCCGTATTATGTACGTACAACACCCTGTACCTGATATACAGACAACACTAGATTGCAATGCATGAACAGTCGTCAAAAACAGTGAAAACATAATATATAATAGCTAGAAAAACGACCTATTATTTGCCGCTTTCTCATTGGTCCCACTTAAATAACTGACCGTTTTTTCTGAAATGATAAAAATTTTAAATTCTATGAAAGTAATAATAATCCTAAAGCACAAATACATAATATTCCATCTATAATGTACCCTTATTTATAAGGCAACCGTTTTTTCACGACTTTATTCAACATTTCAATAGAAATCACTGATATTCTTTGACAGCTTTTGTCAAGTTGCATTTCGATAAGGTCTTTTCCTATTCGTCCAAGGGACCGTTAAATATTAATGTTGGTGAAATTGGCCCTAAATGTTACAATCACCCTATTGGCAACTATCTATGTGAGGAAAAATGTAGTAAAATTATTATAATTTATTTAATGATGATTGATTGTTCGACTATCTACTACTGTAATATAAGCTCCTTGTAATTAAAAATGATTTTCTACTTTTCACTTCGGTTAGCAGTAAAGGCGTGTTTCTTACTTTTTTAACTTTTATTTATTTTTCATTTCTTAGTTCGATTTATAAATCAGCTTTTGTGGACATGTGGTATTGAAATATCTTACGAATCATTTCGTAATCTAATCAATTCATTTAAAGCTACACTGTTCAATTGGGTTTTTTCTGTTAACTTAGAGCAATCAAGTTCTTCGATCCAAATACCAACTAAAGTCCTCACACGACTAAGTACTACATAAGCTTGTCCAGGAGCAAACAGTCGCGAGCCTAGATGAATGACTGCATGATCGACTGTACAACCTTGCATCTTATAGACGGTCGAAACCCAACTCAGGATTAATGGCAGCATTCGCAATGAACAAGGTGAGAATGCCTTGAAAAGTATCTGCCTCCGTT